CCGGCTTTCATTAGGCGTATAACGCCTTGATCCAGTGGTTGCACTACAGACGTGTTCGGGGGCAAAAAATGCAACTCGATGTTGCTGAAGGTCGTACTGCAGTGGTGCGATGAACAATTGTCCACGAGCAGGCACACCTTGCGATTTTCGCCTACCAAATCATCATTCCACGACGATAGCCATCTGCTGAAAAGCTCCCCGGTCATCCACGCTGTTGAGTTTGCTTGGTAGGTAACTGGAAGCGACAGCACATTTCGAAAACATTGTGGTGCTGTGCTTTTCCCGATAACCAGAGGTCGAAGCTTTTTCGATCCGTCTAAATTAGCTGGAAACAGCAAGGACACACGAGCTTTGTTTGCCTTGCCGCGGCTTGTCTTGTCGCCACGACACGCAAGTGTCTTGCTTGGCAACATTTGCCAAAATAGAGCGGTTTCAGCCGCATTGAAAATATCTTGGGCTCTATATCTTGCTGGAATATCTCGCCAGTTTTCCTCAAGCCATTTTTCTACGCTGTCCAGGTCTGCCGCTTTGCTTTCACCTGTAACAGCTTTTCTAATGATGTCATGCCGTTCTTTGAACCACTGAAGCCAGCCTGAACCGCCTTGGAAAACATTCCTGCCAAGCAGAAAAGCAAGGTCCTTGGCTTTCTGCTTGATCATAGGGCCAGACACCGGGATGTTTCGCGACCGAACGTCCACAAACCACTTGTAAACGGCCGCTTCAACATCTTCGTACACAGCAGCACGCCTACATCGGGCTCCACGGGCACCTGGCCTTTTGTCCGACTTGGCCCTGATGTCTGCCTTGTTCTTCAGGATAGTACTCAAGGTGCTCCTTGGAATTTTGTACGCGGCGACGAAGTCGGACTTCTTTTCACCCCGCTTAACCCGATTGATGATTTCGAGCTTCGTGGCGAACGGCAAATTTCGTCTCTTTGCGCAAGCCATGATGACAGCGCGCCAATACAGTTCACAGAACACCAACAGGCAACACCACAGACCACGCTAAATCGGCAGCAGCAGGCACACAAGCATAAAGAAAAAATGGCGCTCACTTCTACCGCCTCCGCGCCTCGGAGAAAGCACGACGGCCTCTGATTGGCTGTAAGCGCTGCGAGCGGGCCAGGATAATTTCTTGGAAGGGGGTGTTCGCCCGCAGACAACCTGGTCTAACCAACTTTTTCTAGGGTGGGAAAGCCAACTTGCTGGGGCACTTTTGAGGCACATGGAGTTTGATATATCAGTTGTCGTTGCTATTTTCGTTCGATAAAGCAGTAAGTTTTGCTATATATTCTCAATGTAAACTTACCTTGTTTAGGAATTGTTCGATATACGAGATAATTTGGTATAAACGGGTTCGATATAGTCGGGCTCGGCTGTATAGGTACATTTGTTAGCATAGGCATGCACACGAGGGGGACACGGCGGTAGCACCCCCCTTCCCTTGTCCCCTAATAGCCGGTGCGCGAAGTCTGTCCCGTATTATAGTGCCTAGAATGTGCACGTATAAAATTCATTGATAGAGAGAGGGGCGCTGCTATTAACCATTGAGCCTTCTTTGAAGGGGAATCCTCCGCAGGTGTATGTCCGCCAGACGACGCCAGCGATGCTAAGATTATCAATGAGAGTTACGTAGCCTCCTGGGGTCACTCAAGGGTGCTTATAAAGTAAGATATATGGTCTGAACATGCATTGGCTGCATAAGGTATAGTAATTTGCTAATTTTCTTCATTGTATAGATTATCGAGCTCGTGTAGCGTAAATTGTGCACGTATTGAAACTTTTACATGCAATAAAAGATTTATTTCTTTTCTGCTAGATCAGCTGCCATCCATTGGAAAAAGCAAAATACACTTCAATTGGTTATTTTCGAATGTACAATGAATACTTGAAAAAAAAAAAAAAAGCTGATGTATTACAATTATGCAAGACTTGCAAGTGAAGTTATTACGTCTGTAGATACATGTGTCAACGAGAATACAGTGTACTGAAAAATCACGCGTTGCAATATTTTTTTCTTTCTTCTTCCTTCTGTGCCATATGGTTTTATTGTAAAAGAGTCGTTGCAGAGTGGTGTGCCTGCGAGAATGACGCGATATCTCAGGATGGGGCCGATCGGTAAACATATGGAGCGCTTTTGAGAAAAATTTGCATGTGATATGGTTGTTTAATTTTTAATTTTCATTTTTTTCTTAGCAAGCACGAGCATGCCGGCATTTCTAAAGAAATCAGAACACATAACTTTCCTGGGAGCAAAACAGTTACAGAATGCAGTTTTGTTTTATGCTTCTGCTAATCAGCAGGAATACACCTGTTTGTTCTGGAAAGTTGTGGGTTTTTTTTTATATTGACTTAAAGGCTCCGCCGACAAGTTCGCCATTTAGGTTGCCGCAACAGTTTTTCAAAATATAAACCGGAATATCCTGCGTACCTTAATAATCGGCGTTATGCGAAGCATGCATTGGGAAGGTGACCATGTTGCAATTTTTATATCGCGACACGTCATGAAATAAATGATAGTAAATATATGTACAAATCTTGCAGGCACAGGCACACCTTGCAGATGTTTGTATATTAAGTTTTTTTGCACTTTCATGATGATGCCAACGAGGAACTTGAGTATTGCAACACTAGAAGCGATAAGCTGATATAAAGCGCTGATGCTCGCAAGAATGGTAGCCCTGAACACTCTTACATAAATCGACTTCAGCGCATAGCACCTAACTACAAGTGACGTTAACTTAACGTCACGACTGTATTATAGGAATGCATATGTTATCATGATGTAATTGGATAGCCGGCGCGGCAACAATTAAAGTTTCACAAACATTAGGGTCTCTTTGAAAAATAGTTCTGAGACCTGGTGTGGCTTTGTGGTAGAATGCTTGATTGCCATGTATAATGCTAGGGTTCGATTCCTCCTGAGACCTGTGGGAATCGAGAGCGCCCCCCTACCAGGCGCCTCGTTCGCTCACGTGTTAAAACTACTCCTATGTGTTCTCGTCGTTGCTGGGTAGATTTCATGTGTCACTCACCTGTGGCACATACCCGCATGCCAGTGGCACATACCCACCCGCAGGTTTGTGCCACTGTCTAGTAAAAGGTGTTTGACGGTGTATGCGACGGGACTATGAAGGCATTCATGTCTTGACTATTGTGTCATATTCATGAAATTATTTTGTCCTCTTATACTAATTTTGGTTCGCCCAATCACGAGGGCAACCGGACGTAAGCGACTAGATAGATGGAGATGGATGTCTGGGCTGGGCTGGGCTGGGCTGGGCTGGGCTGGGCTGGGATGGGCTCTGAAATTTTCGGCAATTACAAGATTTGACAGTATTTCTGCAAATCAGCGTGTGAAGGGACAAGAGGATGTACCAAAGTGGACTGTGAGCATTGAACCATTGGTGCGAATGCCACAGTATTGACCAATAGTCAGTTCCGAGCTGACAGTTCTTCATTGTATTTTGTGATACTTTTGTATTTTGTCGAGTGCGTGAAATCTGTACAGTCTTCATGTGCAAGGCAAGAAAAAAAACAAACATCGTGTCTCTTTTGAAGCAGACACAATGCTGCACAACGTCAGGAGGAAGGACATTCCAATCTTGCACGGTCTTGACAAAAAGAAGGATGAAAGGTGCGCAGTGGTATGAGCAGTTGGTCGGTACAAAGCTTTCCCGTGGTTGATGCACTCTGAATGACAATGGGCTGGCTTGATAGTGGGAGTACGAGATGATGCATGATGTAACTTCAAAAACAGGCACAGTTGAGCTATACAGTGGTTGATGAAAGGGTAACGAGGTTAGCACGAGATTCAAATTCGGTTACGCTTGACTGGTATAAATAATATGAAAAGATGAACCTTGCTTCCTGGTTTTGCACAGTTTCATGTGTTTTAGCATTGTTACTCTGATGAGGGTTTCGAAGAGCGCATGCGTATTCAAGGTTTGGTCTGATTGGTGTCTGATAAGCGAGTAGTTTAACAGCAGTAGCAGCTAGATGAAGGTTTCCGCTTATACAGCCAAGGTTTGCTTCTTTAGTAATGTGTGTTATTTGAAGAGACCATGTTAAATCGGAAAATAAATGGGCTCCTAGATACTTGTATGTATTTAGGTGTTCGATTAATGATGGTATTTGACCCTAGATAGCCGCTCCAAACCTAACATTAACATGCACAGTTACAAAACACACCTATTGGTGCTCCAAACCAGCTCCGAAACCCCCTTTTTACTGTGCCAAAGCTGCTACAAAACAGCTTAATTTCTGGGCAATCACATTTTGTAGGCTTTTGTGAATATTCTGATGAATATAACAACATTCAAATTTGCTTCGATTTAAATTTAAGTTATTGTAAATTTCAAAATATTCAGAATGAATGAATAGATGTGTATCAGTTAGCGTGTAACTTTTTGTAAAGGTAGTTTCACTGCAGCATAGGTGTGCTAAACCGTGAAAACGCCTACCTAGGGAAAATCTACTCTGCAATGAAGCTCAACTTCAAAGTTAAATGAACAGATTACCTCCCCATCGAACCATAATTCTTTAAGTTTAAAGACAGCTTGTATGCTCCAAGTATACTAAATTTTAAAATGTAACATATTTCCCAGGTCATAATTTGCATTCTACAAAAGTTAGACCTGTTGCTATTCAAAGTTGCCACTACTTTCTTTAAAACAAACAATGTTATTTGTACAGGCCTTGGTGCACTTTCTGAAAAAAAAATTTTGTGCAATTTAGTTGCCCATTTTTTTTATAATATTTTGTCTAGACTATTTCAAATCAGTTTGAAAATGTTTGACTAAATTTACTTTTGCACAAGCCTACTATTTGGTCATGAACCTGATTTGCTCCGCAAGCAACATAATGGTGCTAAGGGCTGGCACCACAAAACCACCACAACAGGGTGGGTCTTGTCCTGCCTCTGACCAAGCACTGTGAGGTCATTTACATCTGACTGCCTGGATGAAATAGCTTGCCCAAAGAAAGTCTTTGTGGGTGCAGGTGACAGCATCCAACTGTGCCGAAATCGGGCGGGAGAGGCCTGAGTTGCTGCGGCTGTCCGGTGATGTGGCACACGGTCGGGACTGGCATCTGGAGAATGAGGCACGCTCGGCCGTCCGGCTGGCCAACTTCCTGTCTGGGTTCCTGCAAACTGTGGATCCGAAAGAACTGTTTGCAGAGTTTCGAGTGCCCGACCGCTCACTCACGCAGGACCAGATCATCGGTGAGTTTCGAGCCTTAGAGGAGCATCTACACATGTGACATGTGTAGTCATGAAATATATTCATTTTAAGTTAAGGAGTCTTTCAATGCCAACTTTCTTATTTCCGTGTGAATTTTGATTTAATTGGCACATTTGTTGTAAACGTCACCAAGATGCTACTGTACAAATTTTGCAAGTATTGCATTTACCCACATGATATGAGCACCCTCATTTCGGTTGGAGAAATCAGATTTTCTTTATTTTCGTACATAATAGTGTCACGGGGTCGTGACATGGCCGATGACAGGAGACTGTGTGTTGAGATCAAACTGTTCATTTAGACGAACTTGTGCTTGGGAACGGATTACAGTAGCAGTCTTGCACTGATAGCGGCGAACGAAGCGTCGGCCGTCGATCAACTGACAAGCGGCGAAGCGTGTCGGCATTTATGCCCTTGCTATCGAATATTCTAGTATTATCGCTAGCGGCAACGTAGGTTCCTGAATAATCTGTGACGTTCCCGAAGTGGGCGTAATCTTAACGAAACAATCTACTAAAGCCTTGAAGCTTGTTGAACATCCTGGTGCGGTTTGCACTGAACGTAGTGTAACGGGGTGATAAACAAAACTTGAGGAAAGGTACGTGGCATTGCCCCCCTCTGAAAAAGGCATCGTCCTGATGCATAACAAAAGACGAAGGTACAATAATAAGGACAACAAACAAGTACAGCAACAACTACAAAATGTAGTCCTCAGGTTCGCGCATGAAATGGCTTGAGGCACACGACATGGACGACTTCAGGTCGATCACGGCGCCGTTGATAGTTCGTAATGCCGTCGGGAAGAACCTTGTAGTCAAGTGGGCCCAGACGTCGAACTACTTTGTATGGTTCAAAGTAACTTCATGGAAATTTTTCCCTGAGCTCACATCAGTGTATCGGCGTCCATACCCAGACACGGTCCCCGGGCTGGTACTAAACGAAGCTTTGTCGAAGATTGTAACTGCGGCTGTCGGTCGCCTGTCGATTCTTGATGCGCAGGCGGGCGAGTTGACGAGCTTCTTCCGTGCGCTGAAGGTAAGTGATGACGTCGAGGTTCTTTTCGTAGCGTCGAGCGTCGTTGCCGGGCTCCTTCCATAGACCAACTTGTACGGCGTCATCTCCGTTCTTTCTTGGACGCCCGTATTGTATGCGAAGGTCACGTAAGGAAGGATTTCACCCAACTTCTTGTGCTCGACGTCGACGTACATAGCCAGCATATCAGGGATAGTCTAATTAAGACTTTTGGTGAGGCTGTTGCTCTGTGGATAGTAAGCGGTGGTGCGGCGGTGACTTGTCTAGTTCTACCTCAGGATTGCCTGAATTAGGTCCGCCGTAAAGGCTGTAGCTCTATCAGTAACGAGGACCTGTGGAGCTCTGTGATGCAGAACAATGTTCTTGACGAAGTACCTTGCTACCTTGGAGGCACTGCCCTTGGGGAGGGCCTTTGTTTCGGCATAGCGTGTGAGGTAGTCAGTAGCTACGACGATCAACTAGTTCCCGGAATTCAACGTCGGGAACGACCACAGTAAGTCCATGCCTATTTGCTGGAATAGCCGGCGAGGTGGCTCGATGGGCTGGAAAAGTCCGGCTGGCTTAGTCAGCGGTGTCGTTCGTTGTTGACATTCGCAGCAGGTCCTGACGTAGCGAGTGACATTAGTGAAAAGTCGTGGCCAGTAGTACTTTTCTTGTATTCTTGCGAGCGTGCGAGAAACATCGAGGTGTCCAGCCGTCAGGTCGACGTGTAGGGCTTCGAGTACTTCTGGTCACGCAGCTGAAGGAACCACGAGAGGGTGTTCGGCTCAAAGAGGCGAAAGGTTTTCTTTAAGAAAACTCCGTTTCACTAGAAGAACGACTCCACTCTTCTCTTGAAAACATTCGGAACAGTCGTGCTGTTACCCTCAAGGTATTCCACAAGGCTTCTGAGTTCCGAGTCAGCTCGCTGTTGCTCGGCGAAGTCGTCGGCAGTTATCATTCCTAAGACGCTGTCCTCGTCCAGGCCTCCAGGCAGCGGTGGTTCAACGGGGGCACGAGACAGGTAGTCGGCGTCAGAGTGTTTATCCTTTCCACGCCATCAGTCTTTTGCACAAGGACGTCTTCGAGTCCTACGCTGCTTGCCTCGGTGTGTACTTCTCTTTTGGAGTGCTCGTCGAAAATGCACAAGTATTGGCGGTGTCTAGAGGCGTTGTTTAAGTTCCTGAAATGTTTTATATTGTGCTGCTTCTGAACACCTGAATTCGACGATGCTTTTCGTGAGGTGAGTTATCGGCTCGGCAATCTGTGTAAAACATTTGCCGAAACGCCCCTTTTAGTTCGAATTATCGAGATTCGATCAAGCTGCCGCACTTCTATGTAGCATTTCATTTGGAACCAACAGTTTATTTTAGAGAAGAAAAGTGACGAATTGCATTTCACAGTGATTATACATGGTCTGATTGTGTCAGTGACACATCTAAAACTTTGCATTCACCAGAACTGCTTTTTCTCAACAACACATTATCTTGATCATGTTGCTCTATGTCATGTGTTGCTCTTTACGCATTTGCATAAAGTGTTCTTATTTTTTTTTATCCTGTTTGTTTCTTGAACTGTTGGTAACAGTGCTTCACTTTTCTTTTCCCCTTTTTTCACAAAATATATTTTGTGCAACTGTCTATGCAACGTAAGCACCAACTCGTCCAAAAAGAAGTCCTTAGGTAGCATCACCACATGTGTTTTCTTTCTTACCAAGCACCTTTGGAGTGATGCTTTGGTTGTGACAAAGTGAATCTATGTTCTTTTGAGTGGATTTGTGATGACGGCAACACTAGCTTGGTTGCAAAAAGCACTCTGGTTAAGCACCCATTGTATTGCAGGGGAAGCCATGTCCCTGGTGGCCGGCAACCAGCGCATTCTGGGCTGTGGTGTGTACTTTGACCGTAAGCAGTTTCCTGGCCGGCATTTATACGCACCTTACGCCTATCGGCGTCATCGCAATGAGCGGCGCTTCTACGTTGACGACATGGCACGCTTCCGTGGTGCAGCCTACCTGCAGGAAGGGTTTTTCGCCCAGCTTAAGACACGCTGGGCAGCCAACCTCGATGACCTGGTCACATACACCACCAAGATCCGCATCAGGTGACTGTGGCAAAAAAACGTTTTATGCATGATCCCTGAAAGAAAGTGACGAAATGTCATGAGTGACTGCTCAAAGGACAGAAAAACCTAGTTAGGGTGCAACATTGGTCAGATCACCAAAGCATGGAATAATAAAAATTCTTTAGGGGGTGTTGCTGGAGTCGGAACTTAAGGGAAACATGGGTCTCAGGGCTCTCTCAATTATTTTTGAACCAAATGTGACAAAAGTTGGCATGCTTACTTAGTTTGTTCTCCTGATTCTAAAAATGTAGTTACTTTTTCTGTAGCTTCATTAGTTAATTATTTAAGCAAGATAACAATTAGTATTGTTCTTACCACAATAGTGTCACGGAGTCGTGATGTGGCCGAAGACAGGAGACTTTGTGTTGGAATTTAACTGTTTATTTGGGCGAACCTGTGCCCGGTAAACGGAAAGTCCGATTACAGTAGCAGTCTTGGACTTATAGCGGCGAACGGAGCGTCGGCCGTCGATCAACTACCGTCTAGCGGCGAACCGCGTCGGCGTTTATACTCTTGCCGTCGAATGTTCTAGCGTTATCGCTGGCGGTGGCGTAGGTTTCAGAATAATCTGTACCGTTCGCAGAGTGGGCGTGATCTTATCGAAATGATCTACTACAGTCCGGAAGCTTCTTAAAAACTGCAGGCGCGGTTTGAGCTGAGAATTGTGTAGTGTTTTAGGACGATAACAAAACTTGGGAAATGGAACGTGGCATTGCCCCCTCTGAAAAGGCATCGTCCCGATGCTTTAACTAAAGATGAAAATACAACAATTATGCAAAAAAGTACAATGAATAAATTACGATACAATAATAATACAAAAACACTGTTTTAGTTTGTTAACGCACATGAAAACGGCTTGAGGCGTGCGACATGGACGACTTCAGGTCTCGATCGGCGTTGTTGAGAGTTTGAGATGCCATCGGGGACAACCTCGTAATCAAGTGGGCCGAGACGTCGAACCCCCCTGTACGGTCCGAAGTACCGTCGCAGAAGCTTTTCACTTAGTCCACGTCGGCGTCCACACCCAAACACGTTCACCGGGCTAATATTCCACGAGGCGTCGTCGAAGATTGTAACGGGAGCTGTCGGTCGTCTGTTTATTCTTGATGCGGAGACGCACGAGTTCTTGGGCTTCTTCGGCGCATTGAAGGTACTCACTCACATCGAGGCTCTCTTCGTCGGTGACGTTGGGTAACATGGCATCGAGCGTCGTTGCCGGGCTCCTTCTGTAGACCAATTTGTATGGAGATATCTGCGTCGTCTCCTGCACTGCCGTGTTGCATGCGAAGGTCACGTACGGAAGAATGGCATCCCACATCTTGTCGACATCGACGTACATTGACAGCATGTCGGCGATAGTCTTGTTAAGCCGCTCGGTGAGGCCATTGGTCTGTGGGTGGTACGCTGTCGTCCGGCGGTGGTTTTGTCTGGCTGTATGCCAAGATCGCTTGAGTTAAGTCGGCAGTAAATGCCGTTCCTCTGTCGGTGGTAAAGACCTCCGGGGCGCCGTGACGTAGGACGATATTTTCGACGAAGAACTTAGCTAACTCGGATGCACTGCCTTTTGGCAGGGCTTTTGTCTTGGCGTAGCGGGTGAGGTAGTCGGTAGCTACCACGATCCATTTGTTTCCGAAAGCCGACGTTGGGAACGGCCCCAGTAGGTCCATATCAATCTGCTGGAAAGGTCGGCGAGGTGGTTCAATTGGCTGCAGAAGTCCCGCCGGCCTTGTCGGTGGTGTCTTGTGTCGTTGACAGTCCCGGCATGTCCTCACATAACGAGTGACGCGGTGGTAAGACGTGGCCAATAGTACGTTTCTTGTATCCTCGCGAGCGTACAAGAAACACCAAGGTGCCCTGCTGTCGGATCGTCGTGCAGGGCCTGCAGGAGTTCTGGTCGCAAAGCTGAAGGCTCCACAAGGAGGTAATTGGCTCGAAGCGGTGAAATTTTTTTCTTTTAGAGAAGACCGTTTCGCAGGAAGAACGACGCAAGTGCGCGCTTGAATACCTTCAGGACTTCGGCGGTCGTGCCTTCTAGGTATTCTATTAGGGCCTTAAGTTCCGGGTCGGCCCGCTGTCGTTCAGCGAAGTCGTCGGTAGTAATCGTTCCCAAGAAGTAGTCGTCCGGGTCGTCGGGTGGTGGTTGGTCGACAGGCGCACGAGAGAGACAGTCGGCGTCGGAGTGTTTCTTGCCGGACTTGCAAATGACAGTAATGTCATATTCTTGAAGTCTCAGGCTCCATCGTGCGAGGCAACCTGAAGGGTCCTTCAAGGTGGCTAGCCAACACAAGGCGTGGTGGTCGCTCACAACTTTGAAGGGCCTGCTGTAAAGGTAGAGGCGAAATTTAGACGTAGCCCAGATAATGGCGAGGCACTCCTTTTCTGTTGGGGAATAATTGGCTTCTGCTTTGGATAGCGATCGGCTGGCGTAAACTAATAACCCTTTCAAGTCCGTCAGCCCTCTGCACAAGAACGGCGCCAAGACCTACGCTGCTTGCGTCAGTGTGTATTTCTGTCTCGGCGAATTCGTCGAAACGGGGCTAGTAACGGAGGCGTCTGGAGGCGATGTTTAAGCTCCTGGAAAGTGTGTTCCTGCGACGTTTCCCACTTGAACTCCATGTCGGCCTTGGTGAGCTTAGCGAGTGGATCGGCGATGCGTGCGAAGTTTTTCACGAACCGCCTATAATAGGCGCACAGGCCCAGAAATCGGCGCACCCCCTTCTTGTCAGTGGGCGGCGAGAAGTCGGCAAAGTCGGCTGTTTTCCGTGGATTGGGACGAATTCCAGACTTGCTAATAACGTGCCCCAGAAAGAAAAGCTCCTCGTACGCAAATCTGCACTTTTCTGGCCTCAGTGTGAGTGCAGACGTCTGGATGGCTTGAAGTACAGCTTCAAGGCGCCGAAGATGCTCTTTGAAACTCGAGGAAAACACGACGACATCGTCCAAGTACACAAGGCAAGTCTGCCACTTCAATCCTGCCAGTACTGTATCCATAACGCGTTGAAAAGTTGCAGGCGCGTAGCGAAGACCGAAGGGCATCACCTTAATCTCGAAGAGGCCGTCCGGTGTTATAAACGCCGTCTTCTCTCGGTCTCTTTCGTCGACTTTGATTTGCCAATAGCCAGTCTTGAGGTCTATTGACGAAAAGTACTTGGCGTTATGGAGCCGATCAAGTGCATCGTCTGTTCGTGGAAGAGGATACACGTCCTTTCATGTGATTTTGTTCAGGCGGCGATAATCGACGCAGAAACGTAGGGTTCCATCCTTTTTCTTCACTAACACCACGGGGGATGCCCATGGACTCTTGGACGGCTGGATAATGTCATCCCGCAGCATTTCATCAACCTGTCTCTTCATGGCCTCATGTTCTCGCGTCGAAACCCTGTACGGACTCTGACGGAGTGGTCTGGCATTTTCTTCGGTTATGATGCGATGTTTTGTGATTGGGGTTTACCGAATTTTTTATGACGACGAAAGGAAATCTTCGTACTGCAGGAGCAGGGCCTTGAGCTGTTCTTGCTTATGGTTTGGAAGTCTGGAATTGACATCGAATGCTATGGGAGGGGCTTGGTTCCTCTGAGCAGGTTCCGCATAATCTGCAAGGGCGAAAGCCCTGGTGGCTTCAACAATTTCTTCGATGTATGCGACCGTTGTTCCTTTGTTCACATGTTTGTACTCATTGCTGAAATTCGTGAGCATAACCGTTGATTTGCCTCCCCGCAGCTCTGCAATTCCTCTTGCGACGCAAATATTTCGGGTGACCAACAGATGCTGACTGCCTTCAACGACGCCTTCTAAGTCAGGTGATTTAGGAGCGCCGACTGAAACAAGTCACCATTTCGCCTCGCTTGAGCGAGGCGGAATCGTGACTTGTTCTTTCAGCACATTCAAGGCATGGTTTCCTGACGGCGTGCGCGGCGGTAGTGCTTCTTCTGTGGATAACGCTAACAACCTGGTTTTTAGGTTGATGACAGCACCATGTAGGCATAAGAAGTCCATGCCAAGGATGACATCTCTCGAGCAACGCTGTAGGACTATGAGGTCTGTAGGATAAATACGGCCGTTAATGGTGACTCTCGCTGTGCAGATTCCTGCAGGCGTTACGAGATGACCTTTGGCTGTGCGAATTTCAGGGCCTTCCCAAGCTGTCCTAACTTTCTTTAACTTCACGGCGAACGACCCACTGATGACGGAATAGTTGGCTCCAGTATCGACGAGAGCGGTCACACTGTGGCCGTCGATAAGAACGCCGAGGTCGCTAGTTCGCCATC